GCCCAACCACTAGGACGGTCGGGGGATTGAACGCCTCCCAGCATGCAGCGAGACCGTCGCTCTACCGTCCAGCCCACAGGCGAGGGAGTGAAGCAACCGTCAACCAGGCAAGGTGTGAATGACGCAATGACGCAAGCGGTAGGAGAAGCAAGGATCTCCTAGCGGGAGAGAGGGTAGGGACGCTGAATCGGTGGAGGAGAAACAACTGCTGACCAAGCAGAGGGCCATCAGCCAGCACAACCACTTCCGCCGGCAGTCAAGATGAAGCAATTCGCTCTTAGGCCGCTGCCCAACACATCGCTCAATGTCCTCCTCGAGTGCTCACAGCGTCAAAACAAGAGAATCACGACGACATAAATGGCGCAATTCTTCACTTCTGCCGTTTTCTATATCGTCCCCAAGTGAAAACACTATGGGAAGCTTAACACTTTTACACCACAATCCCCTTCTCTCATTTCTCATTTTGGCCGGAATGTCAAAACAGGAGAATGGTGCCACTCTCACCCCAACATGAGAAACATTGAATAAATCCTCAAAGGGCCGTGATGAGGGTTCTAACTTACGTCCAGGATGATGGTGGATGTTGTGGCTTTCAGTCGATTAATTCGCGTCTGGGAATTATCACGGCCCTCGTGGATTTATTCATTTGATATATATATCACGCTATTGTGATTTGTGTGAGTATGAGAAATGTTCCCTTTTGAGCCGGATATCCCCCGTTCGTATCCCAGCAGCCGGCCGGATAACAGCAGGGATAATGGCATAGTTTTGTCTCGCCTCGCTAAATGCTGTCATATTCACTTCTCCCGTCCATCACTGCGGCAGAATCAAAGTTGTAAATCGATAATTTAATTGCTTGGAAATTCCTTTCCCAACAGAGGACACCTTTGCAGGCGATGAGTCACAATAACGTGGCTAAAGTATGATGACCAGACCACACACTAGAAGGTGAAGGGACGACGACGTTTCGGTCCGTCCTGGACCATTCTCAAGTCGATTGTTTCGACACCTTTATTCGTGCTACGGGTGATGGCGTTGGTGAATATGTCGCAGTTAGGCAGTTAGAGAGTGTTAATTGTTCCCGGTTAAACAACCAGAGGAGGGCAGTTAGAGCTTCCACACACGGAACAGTCATACAGTTCCTCATGCACTCCGTATAGATATAGGGATGATGCTGTTGTTGTTATAGATTCAGGTACTCGGAACAAGTTCCAAGTAGCACGGGCTATGGTGAGCCCGTAACTTACCTGGCACAGGAGCGGGGCAAGTAGCACGGGCTATAGTGAGCCCGTAGTGGACTTACCTGGCACAGGAGTGGTGCCTGTATAGGGATGAATAGATGAATTTATAAATAGATAGGTAGATAGATGGTTTTACGGGGCTATTCATGCCCGTGCCACCTCTTGGGTGGCTTAATCTTTATCAATCAATCAATCTGGATGGTTAGATAGATGGACAGATGGGGCATAAATAGACAGACCCCTGTCATTGGCAGTTACTCCCCCCCGCCAACTTTGAGAGCATGTTTATCTGTCTGTATGCACATAAATGGCGGACAGACAGCTGGGGCTATCTTCTTCTTGAGGTTATCTTGAGATGATTTCGGGGCTTTTTAGTGTCCCCGCGGCCCGGTCCTCGACCAGGCCTCCACCCCCCAGGAAGCAGCCCGTGACAGCTGACTAACACCCAGGTACCTATTTTACTGCTAGGTAACAGGGACATAGACTGAAAGAAACTCTGCCCATTGTTTCTCGCCGGCGCCTGGGATCGAACCCAGGACCACAGGATCACAAGTCCAGCGTGCTGTCCGCTCGGCCGACCGGCTCCCCCGGCTGATCTCAATGAAAACGGTACTGGCGTAAGGTTAGCCAAGGGAAGGGAAATATCAGGGGTAAGCGCCACGCCATCATGACTATATAGAATTTGGAAAACAAACATTTCAATACATCAAACAAAACAAAATTCCAAACAAAATGTGTCTCACTGATATCACTCAAAATGGGATTGTAGGCAAATTATTTGAGAGTTACCATTCATACCTCATATTTCTCACGCTCAATGGACTGATTTCCATTGATTGTAAAATGTAGATGTTTATCTCTCAGAATATTTGGTAATATGTTTATCGTTTGTGATGTGTGTTTATATTTATATATTAACACGATGTACTTAACGGGGTGAGAATAGTTGAGCTACCTCATCCCTTTGTATGTATTTTACCTCAATAAACTTATTTCAATTTCAATTTCAATTTCATTGATTGAAATTATAATTAGTCTCACATGAAGGGGCAACAAACAACAGAACATGTCTGAAAAAGTAATTTAACTACATGTTGCGCAAATTTCTCATTCCCAGGCAACGAAAACTTTATTTTCAAAGGAGAAAACGTCCCATATTTTACTAAACAAAAACCTCTGTAACCGGAAGTAAAAAACAGAGAATTTGGTTTTAAATATCCTCAGTGGCTTTCCCTTGGCCCTAGCTATAACTGTTTCCTATATATGTGAACTCGCTTCCAGCATTCTTAGCAAATCCTCACATCCCCGCTCCAGCGAACTCTTGTTCGTCGAATCAAGTGAGTAAATCCCGCATAGAGAGTATGTGTTCCAACCGGAGATTCGCCGAATCGAGGTTCGTTGAATCGAGGATCCACTAGGAAGGAATTCAATTTATGTTCTAACAGCCATTGTCAGCAGAGGTCTGCACCTGACTAGTGAAGATTGACACATTTGGATGTTGATCTTAAGGAGTTTACAAGATGATCTCGAATGCTAAGTGTTGCAAAGCTGATGTTTTGTTGCGTAAATTGTGTCGTAATGACTCTATGTCTTGAAGATTGTACGTTGCGAAGATTGTGGATCATGCAGATTGTTTATCGTGCAGATTGTGGATCATGCGGATTGTGAATCGTGCAGATTGTGGATCATGCGGATTGTGAATCGTGCAGATTGTGGATCGTGCAGATTGTGGATCGTGCAGATTGTGTATCGTGCAGATTGTTTATCGTGCAGATTGTGGATCGTGCAGATTGTGTATCGTGCAGATTGTGGATCATGCGGATTGTGTATCGTGCAGAGAAAGGTGGCGCCGACTGTAAGTGTCCTGAGGTTCATAATTCCTTTTGAAGATTACTGTAAACATTTGTAGGAAGATGTTGTAGTGTTTGCCGGATGATGTTAGTGCTAGAAGATGTTGGTGTACATTGGTTGTAGTTGTTTGGAGGACAGATAATGATGTCAGTACTCGCAGGTCGGCCAGGTGACCTCAGGCGTATTTGGAGTCAGGTATCTTCCTTGATTTTCGCGTTTAAATAATAATTTTGTCTTGCTGGAATTAAATTTTGTCTGAGATGTTAATCTTATTTGCTTAATTTAAAAACTCGTGAGATTTGCAAATGCTCTGTGCGTTCATTAATATATGCTGTGCATCTCTAACAATCTCAAAAAATTGCAAATTCATTGAATTTTAGGCCTAAGGTAAAAAATCAAGAAGGATGTTTTTTTTAACATTCCTTGTTATTCTTTGATATAAGGCCTAATGATAAGCCCATAAGAATGTCATTTATTAGACACAACATAATACACAATCGACTTGAGAATAGTCCAGTACGGACCGAAACGTCGTCGTCCCTTCACTTTCTAGCGTGTGGTCTGGTCAACAAAACAGAATTCAATCAGAATTTCTATCAGACGCTTTTAGTAGTACGCCCAAGACTCTTTTTATCATGTCGCAGAGAAGGTGTAGAGCTGCGGTTGAGAAGGTGTAGAGCTACGGTTGAGAAGGTTTAGAGCTGCGGTTGAGAAGGTGTAGAGCTACGGTTGAGAAGGTGTAGAGCTACGGTTGAGAAGCTGTAGAGCTACGGTTGAGAAGGTGTAGAGCTACGGTTGAGAAGGTGTAGAGCTACGGTTGAGAAGGTGTAGAGCTACGGTTGAGAAGGTGTAGAGCTACGGTTGAGAAGGTGTAGAGCTACGGTTGAGAAGCAGTTAGCTACTCTCTGAGTACTTCTGTACTTCAATCAACCACATTCTCCTTTGATAACTGACATGAACTTCCACGAACACCCAAGCTTTAGCCGGCAGCAGCGTTTTCGTAATACACTTCTCGCGCTTAAAACTTTGAACACCATCACTTTGGTACTTTTCCCTCGATTTTTTATGGTAAGTTGACCACTGATATATTTTTTGCCTTACGTTATTTTCTGGCAACTCATCACCAAGTTGAGCAGTATATATTCAACGGCCATCAACCTCATCCCCGAGGCTACTGTTCACGTAACTTGTGCCTCCGACATCGTTATTAATAACTCAACTTGCTCACTTCGTTGGCTCATTATAACTTGTCGGGAAATAACGACGAGAGTGTTAACTCGACTCGGGCAGAAACTCCTGTACACTGAGAGCTGTTTTGGTCTCTTTACAGGTGTTGTTGGGTTTCCGTAGAAACCTGACAACATTTGTCTGTCTTCCACGAAAGAAAATTGTCAATAATTTTCTTTCCAGAAAAGATCTATTAGAGACCTGTTAAAAATTGTTTTACAGGAAAGGCCTCGTTAGAAACCTGTCAATACCTGTTTTCCAGGAAAGACCTCATTAGAAACCTGTCAATACCTTTTTTCCAGGAAAGACCTCGTTAGAAACCTGTCAATACCTTTTTTCCAGGAAAGACCTCATTAGAAACCTGTCAATACCTTTTTTCCAGGAAAGACCTCATTAGAAACCTGTCAATACCTGTTTTCCCAGGAAAGACCTCGTTAGAAACCTGTCAATACCTTTTTTCCAGGAAAGACCTCGTTAGAAACCTGTCAATACCTTTTTTCCAGGAAAGACCTCATTAGAAACCTGTCAATACCTGTTTTCCCAGGAAAGACCTCGTTAGAAACCTGTCAATACCTTTTTTCCAGGAAAGACCTCGTTAGAAACCTACAAATAGCCACGTGCGATAACGAACTGTCAAGTGTGATGATATCAGTCCATGACAGAGCGATTGAAGTCTCTTACCTCCTGCTGCTGACCACTTCGCTCTGGTCCCGCCTCACAGAGTTGTTGAAAGTCCACTTAAAGGTCACATTGATGGGGTCAGCGTCCACAACACAGGTGATGTTAGTTAGCTCAAACAGCGCCACGCCTCTCAGCGCAGGGGCCACGGCGCACCTTGGCGCGTCTGTTGAAAGGGGTGGAAGAAAAAGGTATCTTATATTTTCCGGGCCTGAGTTCGAGTCATATGCATATATAATACACACAAGGTTGTTATAGATTCAGCTACTCGGAACAAGTTCCAAGTAGCACGGGCTATGGTGAGCTCGTAACTTACCTGGTACGGCAGGGGCAAGTAGCACCAGCTATGGTGAGCCCGTAGTAGACTTACCTGGCACTGGAGCAGTGCCCTGAATACACACAAACAAACACACATGCATATACACACGAAAATTACCGATTTCCGAACACATTTTAGTGTTCAAATTCCTCTAAATACGCGTGTTTAAGGGCATAGATGTGAACACATAGCACCAAACCTCATCCTAACGCACTAACGCATGTTCTCAGATCTCGTAAACGCCGAGTGCATCCTGCAGCCTCCTGGAGAATGCGTTACTAAATGCATTTTGACCAACGAAATTTTCACTTCCACCTCTCCTTTTTCACTCTGATTCTCAGCCTCTGCGGAAGACAGTTTTGGCGAGCGATTTGTAGTCGATTAGGGTGGTGGTCTCTCATTTGCATATCTGCATAATGCTGATGCTATTTTGATGCTGAGTAGTGTGTCTCGGCCTGTGTTCTGTCCTGATATCCTGGAAAATGATTGGCGTCCACTGTAGCTTGGGTGTGAGGTCCAGTTATGTGGTGGCTCCACTATATTATACAGTGTAATGCTATGGTGACTTGTTCTTTGGTGGACATTAGCCAAGAACAGGTATGTTGTATTCACCTAGTTGTATTCACCTAATTGTGCTTGCAGGGGGTTGAGCTCTGCTCTTTCGGCCCGCCTCTCAACTGTCAATCAACTGTTTCTAAATACTACTACTTTTTTCACATCACACACACACACACACCACACACACACACACACACACACACACACACACACACACACACACACACACACACACACACACACACACACACACACACACACATACACACACACACACCTCCTATGTTTATGTGTGTGTGTGTGTGTGTGTGTGTGTGTGTGTGTGTGTGTGTGTGTGTGTTGTGTGTGTGTGTGTGTGTGTGTGTGTGTGTGTGTGTGTGTGTGTGTGTATTCACCTAGTTGTGTTTGCGAGGGTTGAACTTTGCTCTTTTGGCCTGCTTCTCAACTGTCAATGTGTGTGTGTGTGTGTGTGTGTGTGTGTGTGTGTGTGTGTGTGTGTGTGTGTGTGTGTGTGTGTGTGTGTGTGTGTGTGTGTATATTTTTTACTTGTTTTTCTTGCAATATCGAACAAACACACATCTTATGGACCTCAACTTTCTAACCGACGAATGTGTGTAATGTTCTGAACCAAACTTTTTTTTACTTTAAATAAATAAATTAAATATCGAATTAAACAAAAATAAAAAATAAATTTAAATATCGAATATTAAACAAACTACGATATTCGACATTTCTTAAAGGGTGTCACTGGGGCTGAATAGTCTAAAACACTCATATTTAACCCCCATGTGTCATCCTGGAGAGCTGAGTGAGACTAGCCCAGAACATCTAGCCTCCTACCTCCAGAAAACAAGACAAACAATCACTTTTATTGATATATAAACATTCCCTTGTAATTTCTTTTAACGAAACTGAAGATAATAAAATTTCTCGAGCATATTGGACCCCTCAACTGTAGCATTCAACATTAAATATAAGCGTTAGAACGCAAAGGAATTGAAGGATAGTGAATGGATTCAGAGAGAGAGAGTGGAGCTTGTAGGTCGATGGAGTACAGTGGACGGTGTAGGATGCTGGGGGCAGGATGCTGGGGCAGGATGCTGGGGGCAGGATGCTGGGGGCAGGATGCTGGGAGCAGGATGCTGGGAGCAGGATGCTGGGAGCAGGATGCTGGGGGCAGGATGCTGGGGGCAGGATGCTGGGGGCAGGATGCTGGGGGCAGGATGCTGGGAGCAGGATGCTGGGAGCAGGATGCTGGGGGCAGGATGCTGGGAGCAGGATGCTGGGGGCAGGATGCTGGAGCAGGATGCTGGGAGCAGGATGCTGGGGGCAGGATGCTGGGGGCAGGATGCTGGGGGCAGGATGCTGGGGGCAGGATGTTGGGGGCAGGATGCTGGGGCAGGATGCTGAGGGCAGGATGCTGGGGGCAGGATGCTGGGAGCAGGATGCTGGGGCAGGATGCTGAGGGAGAGAGAGAGAGGGGAGGGGGGGGGGAGGGTAGGAGACACCGTGATGACTCGTCATTAAGTCACAGAGACAATCAATGACTATCATTATTTTAACTGTGGTGCTCAACAAGGCGATTATTACTGCACAGCTGATGCTTGTGGCTACCCATGTGAGAGAGAGAGAGAGAGAGAGAGAGAGAGAGAGAGAGAGAGAGAGAGAGAGAGAGAGAGAGAGAGAGAGAGAGAGAGAGAGAGAGAATCATATTAAGCAGAATACAATATATCGTTAATTTAAAGATACATTTTGATGGATGAAGAATTGTTGATAGTGAGAAGAGCCAGGGATTACTATAGAGCTGAGAGAGCCAGGGGGTATTATAGAGCTGAGAGAGCCAGGGGGGTATTATAGAGCTGAAAGGGCCAGGGGGTAGTATAGAGATGAGAGAGCCAGAGATTACTATAGATGTGAGAGAGGCCAGGGATTACTACAGAGCTGAGAGTGCCAGGGGGTACTATAGAGCTGAAAGGAGCCAGGGATTACTATAGAGCTGAGAGTGCCAGGGATTACTATAGAGCTGAGAGGGGCCCAGGAGCTACCATAGAAGAAAAAATCAAGTATTGATGTAGACCGGACTGTGTTTATGAGGCTGTTATGTTGACCTTCGAGGGTCCGAATATGGATTTCCTGGCCACATAGAATTGAGATTGGCGCATAAAGCCGGCCCCGATGGGTCTATATCCACGCTTAATATGGCCGGAACCGGTTCCTGGGGGCCTGGGTGACGAGCTATGAGGAAAGAAAGGCTGCCTAGCTAACGGATATTGGACCTGGGAACGACTCATTCAGAAATTTGCAGGGAAAAACAAAATACTTGCGTGCAAACACACACACACACACACACACACACACACACACACACACACACACATATATATATATATATATATATATATATATATATATATATATATATATATATATATATATATATATATATATATATATATATATACACACCTACACACACACACGCACATATCCATTTCTTTTCCTACACTCTATTCTATCTCTTACATAGTCCATCTCTGCAATATTCCATAACCTACATATATATATATATATATATATATATATATATATATATATATATATATATATATATATATATATATATATATATATATTTATATAACCAACACACACACACAACATTTCCCTTAACTGAGCAAGAAGGAATATTTGAAGATAAACGGGTTTCGCCCAAAGCCAAGAACATCATATATCTCTTGCATTTGCATCCTTCCGCTCTCCCCAAAAATCAACTACAATGATCGGTATCCACAAACACATATACATCTATCTTTACCACCGCAACAAAACGACTTCTTCCTTCCCATTAGAAATCATCCGAAGAAAACGAGATTTGGGGGAGAGAAAGAAAACGAATAAACGGAGGGAAAGAAGAGTGGACTTCAATGGACGTAGTTTCATATCCGACGCAGCTGATGCCTCTGAAAAATGTGAGGCGCGTCCGTACCACAGAAAGCTTGACAAAAATCCTATTTCTTGCCCGCAGTTTGGCCGGGGATGACCCGTCCAGCGCCTTCGTCGCTTCCTGCAGGAGACTTGCCCCACAAAGGGAGCCATTATCCACCGTCCTGGCGTCCTCAACGCTCCTATTTACCAGAGGTTAGGGGATGAGAGGAGAAGGTGGTGGTGGGTGGGGTGACTAGCCCCACTATCCCACCCCTAGAGGTGGCAATGGACGCCCCCCAAGGGGCTAAGGGTGAAAGAGATAAAGAGGAAGAAAGAGAGAGGCTGAAAAGAGATTAAAGGAATAAAGGTATTCTGGGAGACGTCAATGTGGTGGTGTGGAATATTGCGAGAAGAGGATAATATATGATATATATTTTATGTCTAGTTATTTATAATATTTAATGACCATGTCGTATCAATTGCGGTGGTTTAGTGAGTCGTAAACCACAATTATGCACATATATGAAGTATTGTCTAAACTGAGAACAGAAACCTTACATGAAAGCAACAATCAAGGGACAACAGCAATTAAAATAATACATTTATATATGGTACACTTCGTATAAAAAAAGCGACTAATTTATCAACAGAGAGAGAGAGAGAGAGAGAGAGAGAGAGAGAGAGAGAGAGAGAGAGAGAGAGAGAGAGAGAGAGAGAGAGCGTGTGCGTGCGTGTCCCTCCCTGTGAAGCAGTCAGGAATGCTCAGTTTAAGACAGTTTTTAATATATCTCCCAGGAACATAGTTTCTCTTAAAGTAACTTTGTGTTATTATATTTTCTTCTACTGGCAAAAATGTGGTCAGAGTACAACGGGCTTATTTTTAAAGAATTCTCGCTGTGGGTGGTTTTACATGAGAACTTTCCGAGCGGTGGTAAATTAGATCATCAATTATTTACAGACTTTGTGTAGATGAGTGTCCTGATGTTTCTTATTTGTGTGGGTGTGTAATTACCTAAGTGTAGTTACAAGATAAGAGCTACGCTCGTGGTGTCCCGTCTTCCCAGTACTCTTTGTCATATAATGCTTTGAAACTACTGACGGTTTTGGCCTCCACCACCTTCTCACTTAGCTTGTTCCAACTGTCTACCACTCTGAAAAAAGAAAACTTTCTAATGTGTGTGTGTGTGTGTGTGTGTGTGTGTGTGTACTCACCTAATTGTACTCACCTAATTGTGCTTGCGGGGGTTGAGCTCTGGCTCTTTGGTCCCGCCTCTCAACCGTCAATCAACTGGTGTACAGATTCCTGAGCCTATTGGGCTCTATCATATCTACATTTGAAACTGTGTATGGAGTCAGCCTCCACC